CCCCAAAACCCCAAAACCCCAAAACCCCAAAACCCCAGATTTTAGTGCCAATATTGAGATTTTATTACAGATTGTATTAAAACAAGTTAGCCTTCAAAGTGATCACTGGCGTAACCATCGATCTCTTCTGACTCATAACCCTGTAAGTCAGGATGGGAAGGCTCGTAATTAGCATCGAACATGGCAGAGCCTGTTCCTGGCTCTATTTTGAAATTCACAGTCACACTGGGTAAGCCGTTAGGAGTTGAGGTATCTTTTTCAGAAACTCTTTGCTGAAATTGGTGGTTGATAAGAGGACTATGCTTTATTTTTCTCAATTTCCTCTTCTCTGAGTTCTGATTATAAATAGTAGAGCTGTTGTTATCCACAGAATCCATTCTAATGTTCATGTTTGGATTCAAACTTGAGGGAGAATTGGCATGTGACCTGTTAAGCTGATATTTTAGCTTGGCTTTTGTCTTTGAATCTGTGTGATAGTTTTCTAGAATATGTAATAGAAGCCTTACTCTGCATACTGTTATGCTTTCGATAATAACTATCAGCAATTTGGGGATACTTTGATGCCTTGGAATGAGACCTTCCCTCTGACTCAAGTGAGTTACTATCTAAATCTAGCTCTGAGATATTGAGTGGTGGGGCTTCCTGATGATCCAAGGGCATATCAAAGCTTGAGTTCAGTGCTGCTATATCAGGTGTTATAATTCAGCCAAAGGCTTGAATACTTACTAAAGTGCAGGTTGTTCCTAGCATATTGCCTTGGATGACAACTGAGATTTAAGGCATCGTTATGCTCGAGTCGTTCGTAAATATTCTGAGTGTAAACCCCATCTGCTTTCTCTATTCGTGATTTTTGAGTCTAAATTTATGGGCCAGTGTTACTTTCTTGGCTGCATGATGAGGAGCAAGACTGTTCCTTTTGGCTTTGGATGGCTTAGCCAGGTTCTTCTGAGTTTGCCCTATAGGGTAAGCTAGCATTTCAGGAGGGTTGAATTGGTCGATTTTTGAGGCTTAGAGAAGTCCTGAGACTTCGCAAAGGCATATTAGATGGAATCGAGATGAATAAGACAAATTACCTAAAGATTAATTGACTAAATACTTCTATGGGCGAGTCTATAGCCGGTTTCAATGCTATTTTTCTTCTTTGAAATCTTTTTATTAGCGGAGATTTTGTTTTTAACTGTTTCCTTAATGATTTCAAGATTGAAAGAGTCTTCATTTTTGAAATTACTATCGAGAATGACTTTGAAAACCAACATGCTTACCTCAGATTAGGCTTCTGAATATTGATTCTTTTCTTAGAGCTCTTCATCTTTGATTTCTTACCTGATTGCATTGCTTTTAACTGAGCTACTGTGCTTAACGAAGAGTTTGAAGCATTGCTAGCGAGGTATTGTTGGCCAGTCTTATTACCTTCAAGATCAACAAAGACTCCATAGTACTCAGCTAGATCTTTCATTGCATATGAGAATCTTGGAGGGAGATACTTAGAGTTATCATTTGCACTAAGGCGCATGTAAAGCTTATTTAAACACCTTTTCAAACTATATTGAAATGAGGCTGAATTACCTTCTCATCTCCAATACTTTGGCTCATGAATTCCTTAGTGATTTTGAGCTGCAGGAGGAAAATTATATGATATCTATACAACTTCAATGAAATATTACAGATTCTTATTATAAGATTCTTCCTGCTGTCGGGTTCCAAATCCACTGTAGATCGACATTTGTCTAGCCTTATATATTATTTCAATAATGTTCATGCTCAGAGGGGTTTTGGGGTTTTGGGGTTTTGGGGTTTTGGGG